AAACCCAGCACATCTGGGGCACAGCCTTGCCAGGACCTGATGGGTTTAGAAACTTGTCTGTGCTGGCATATAAAACCCAGGGTTGGGATGGGATCTCCTAATAGAAACATCATTCAAATGTCGATAAATGCTTTTGTTGGTTTAGTTAATTTTTTTTTTTTAAAAACATGTTTTTTTTACCACTGAAGGTAGAAGTACTGTGGGTCCTTTATCAGTGGAGTCTTTAAATTAAGATTGGGTATCATGTCAGTGTTACGCTGGAATTTCTGCCTTTCCTAAAACATTATTTGATTTCTCAGCTTTTATAATAAAAGTGAGACCAGCCAGTCACTGCAGGCTCTTCTGGCTTTGCAGAGCCATGAATCAGTTCAGGGCTGTTTCTCCCTGGGCTGGATTTGGCACTCCCTGCGAGCCCCCTCTCCCTCACTACACGGGGCTTTGGGAGGCAGAAGCTGTTGGCACTTTTACATTTTGTCTTTGTTTTTCTTTGCACAGGGGACTACGAGTACCCTCCTCCCCCACCTTACTCCTACCGAGAAACCACCATCGTGGAGGAGCCCGGTGAGCCCAGGGCTGGTGCTGCACACCAGCAAAAGTGAAATGGGTTCAGTTTTAGCATCAACAGAGAGGGTGGGTGGGAGGTTTCTGGCCCAATCACAGTCTCATAAGCTGGAAAATTTTCACAGAAATGCCAGAAGATAAACTATGACAGGGCACTCAGATTTGATTTTTCCAGCATTAGCCAATCCACACAAATACCCATTAAAAGAAAAATAAAAAACAAACCAAAAAGGCCTGAAGCCAGGGCTTTCAGAACAAATAATTACAAGGCCAGTGTTCTTGTCACCTTTATGGGAGGGGAGAAGCTCAAAGGAGATGCTGAGGGAAGGCTTTGAAGAGCAGTCAATAACACCCCATACAGGAGAAAGGAGACATAGGTTTTAAAATATCCCTAAAACCAGAAGGCACTTGAACTCTGACATGCTCTATCCTATCTAACAGCAGATCCCTTCCCACTCCTCAAGTTTTGCCTCAGGCTACAGTGTGAAGTTGTACCCTAAACACATTTTAGGATCCTAAAAATGTTTGGTTTTTTGGTTTTTTTTTAAACTGAAAACATTTCTGAAAAAAATATCCTTCGTGTACCTACAAGGGGCATGCCTGTCAGGGAATATGATAGTCAAGTCTAGACTGCAAATACATGAGCTAGAGACTAACTGGGGACAGCACCAGCAGCTGTTTGATGGCATTTAGGTGTAAGAGTAACTGCTTTGAACTTCTCATAACTACTGAAAAGTTGATCCAGAGAGTTCCCCAATATCTTCAAATCCCTTCTTCAGGGAGAACAAGTATTTTCATATTATTTTAAATATCAGAAGACAAATCCTCAGTGTCAGAGTACATCCACCAGAGGGTGGTGGGGACTGCCTGACTGGGATTATCCCACAGACAATTCCCTGTGTACGAGGAAACAGTGGCTGGTTTTAGGTGCAGTGTATTGGGATACACACAATGACCAGCACAGGGGTTCTTGGGAATAAACCTGAAATCAACAATAATAACACAGAGGCCACGTTAAGAACCCACATTCTCCCAGTTAAGGATTTATAAACTGTGTAATATTTCCTGTACTTCTAATTTGCTTCTCTTCTCTCCTGAATTCAGTTTATTTGGTGTCCCAGCCTCCCATCATTGTGGCAGGGATCTTCTCCAGCAAACCAACATCCACAATCTGTCCTTCCTGCCGCCAGCACATCACCACCCAGGTCACCTACAGACTGGGCAAGCTGTCCTACCTCCTGTGCACCAGCCTGTGCATGGTTGGGTAAGTTTTCATGGGCACTGTGCACATTCAGCATAACAGAAGGTTAAAAATGAGTAATTAAAAATCAAAGTTCTAGTTAGTGCTTGTACAGACAGTTTGCCCTTCTCCACTTGATGAGAAGCCATCCTGTCCTTTCTAGATACAGTCATCATGGCTACAGGGGATGCAAACTTGCTAAATTTAACCCAGTTATGTTTCACTTTTCATAAGACAAGCAGAAATTAGTACAACGTTGTCTACTTCCCAACTCTAATTTAGATTCAGGCTCAGAAACAGACTCACACATAAGATGTCAGAAGCGAAGAAGATTAATTTTTTGGAAGATACATTAATAGACTTGGGAAAGAAATGGATTCACACAGTGAAAAGGCAGAGAGAACAAGGCAGGGGGAAATCACAGCTGTGGCCAGCAGAAAAGGAAAGCCAGTAATAATTCTGTGCATGTCCATCTCCTCTTTGGCTCCAGGTGCTGCTTTGGATGCTGCTTCGTCCCTCTCTTCGTGAAGATCTTCAAGGATGCAGATCATTACTGCCCATGCTGCCAGTTTCACATTTATAGATACAAAAGACTATAGAAACCAAGTTTATGCAACCAGATGATGTAAAGCCTCCATTCCCTAATAGCACAAGATTCTGCACATGAAACTACTGCTAGGAAACCCACAGGACTGTGCTTAGGTTCTGCAGCTCCCTTGCTGGTGAACCCACCCAGTAAGCTCCAGTTCACCACCACACGGTTGGATTGACTTTAAAACAAAGAACACTTCCAAGACTAATTGGCAGTGTTTATGCTCCATTTGACTCGCTGCCTGTGCTGTGAAGTTTCCAGTTGGCGAGTTCTTCAGCTCCTCTCAAATCTCCCACCCAGCTGGGACACAGACTCCTCTCAGCCCACCACTAACCAAGGTCTGGACATGGATGTTTCAGAGAAGCTCTTACCTTCTCTGCACTGGAACTGACTGGTTGGGATTTCATTTCTCTCTGCTCTTCTCCCTACAGGATCTACCCCTGCAGGGCTGTGGGTGGCACAGTATAGCTCATTATTTATTAACAAAACACTAAGTTATGAGACTGTCTTTACTCTCTTATGTATTAGGTAAGAAAATAAACCTGTTATTGTTACAATAGTGGCAAAACATTTGCTGTCTGCGTTGCTGCCATGGCCTGAGCATGAGATGCAGGTCACTGGGACACCTCCTTTACATTAACAAGCTACAATCCAAAAGGCAAACACACACATAAGAAAAATCAGCAAACACAGCTTGAACAAAGCTACCACAACACAAGGTCTTTCTTTTGCCTCTCGACCTTCTCACTGCAGTGCATCATCTCCCAAAGCAGGACTTACTAGACTTTACCTTCACACAGAACTTTATAGTCACTTACCTTTTGAAATCAAATATCTGCTATTACAATGCCCAGGAGGTGCCCAGACCTTTCTCAACACTGACAGTAGCAGTGTTACTGCTGGCTGGAAAAATAGGCAGAGGAAGAGAAGAAACTTCCATGTTATAACATCATGGATACTTTCACATTGGCACAGGGATTGCTGAGGGCAGGGGGATGTGCAGCAGCAGCACTGGGGCTGCTCTACTGGGCACTCAGAGAACTTAAAGAGCTTCTTATCCAAACCCTGGCCTGGCAGTGTGACCAGTGTCCCTGTCCCTGCAGTGACCACTGCCTCTGTCCCTGCAGTGTGTGACCAGTGTCCCTGTCCCTGCAGTGACCACTGCCCCTGTCCCTGCAGTGACCAGTGTCCTTGCCGTGTGTCACCAGCCCTGGGGCACCGCCCGCCATCGCCCCCTGCCGGGCACGGGGCGCTCTGCCCGCGGGGGCACCGAGACAGGCACAGGGGCAGGGACACAGGGAAAGGTCAGGGACACCGGGAAAGGTCAGGGACACCGGGAAAGGGGGCAGAGACACCGGGAAAGGGGGCAGGGACACAGGCAGGGACACCGGGAAAGGGGGCAGAGACACAGGCAGGGACACCGGGAAGGGGGTCAGGGACACAGGCAGGGACATCGGGAAGGGTCAGAGCCCCCAGCAGCTCCTCCAGCACTGTGACACAGCGAGGACAAGTCCTGGTTGTTGGACACTGTGGGGCCGTAGAAATGAGCTCCAGAAAGGGCAATGCCCACCAGCCCTGTCACCCTGAGCCAGCTGTCACAGGCTGCATCAGAAACTGCCCCTACCGAGCTGACCCCACACTTTAGCTAAGCCAGGCTGGGCACATGCACAGATTCTTACTTCAACACCTGCACCACTGCAGCCTTTAGACCACAGAAACCCCACTCTTCAGACTGTGAGACGTGAAAAAATGTAATCAGTAGATGCAAAAACTGCTAAACAACCACTTTCCCAGCCCTACGTGAAACCCAGAGCCAACACCCAGAGCAGCTGCCCCAGCTCTCACTCCTCTGTACCTGTGACTGTCCCTCTCCTGGTCACCCAACCCACTGTCACCTCATGGAATACAAACCCACAAGGATTAAAGGCAGCCACACAGATGGCAGCACAACATGTTTTACCAATCCACACATTTTTTTTTTTTTATGTTAAGATTTTTCTCCATTTTAAAATATGGCTGTGGAACAACAAGCATTGCTATTAATTAGTGGTAAATAATGCACCAAGTCGGTGACATTAATCAGGAAAGGTCCAAAACCCAAATCCACACGAATATACACATGGCAAAGAAATTATGTATGACTTGAGATGTGCAAGAGATATTTAACAGAAGTAGTTAGGACATTTTTACACCACTATATATAGGTGCAATAGTTTTACACAATTAATTAATTAATTAATTCATTTCCTGCTCTGCTTGGTATACAGCTAACTTCAATGTACCTGGGGCAGAAATTAAATAAATACAGATTTGAAGCTGGATTAGGACATATCACATGTGAACATTTCCCCCTTTTTCTGACCCCAAAGACCAGGCAGGTTTAACAGCCAGCAATGACATTTGCTGCTCCCACATCAAACAGTGACATTCTCCACCTCAATACCAAAATGTTTCAGGAAATATAAGGGCTCAAAACATGGAAGCTGACGAACAAGTCAGAATTTTCCTTCTGGCTAGCACACCTTAGATTATTAACACCATTCCTGACACACAATTCGGCTGAATTTTGTAAACTGCATCTACTTGATCTAACCAAAATCTGAGTGACCCAAAAGCTGTTAACTCCAACTCCTCTCCAAAATGAAGAGCCATGACACTAAAGCAGTGTTCAGCCCGGGCTATTTTATTTACAATATGTACAAGTTCCTACAGAAAACGATTTCTCACAGAGGATTTATCACACAGCAATCCCCCAGCGTGGCTCCCATGCAGGCGCTGCCCCCGCTGCCAGCGCAGCGCCCGCGGCCGGGGGGTCCGGGCTCCGGGGGCTGGCACGGCACGGCTGGCACAGGCAGGATGGCACAGGCAGGATGGCACAGGCAGGATGGCACAGGGAGGATGGCACGGCACTGCTGGCACAGGGAGGCTGGCACGGCTCGGGGAGGCTGCAGGAGCTCCGGAGGGCAGCAGCTGAGGTAGATCCGGGATCGGGAGGCTCTCGCTCTGCTCGTCCTGCTGTGCCAGCCTGGGCGGGTGAAGGGGGCTGGGGCTGGCTGTCACTCTCTAGTCAGCAACTACCACTGGTGACATCTGCTCAGATTTCACAGAATGCTTTGGACTCCTTCAGGATAAAAGGCACTATGTAAATCTACAGGAACAACGCTCTATTTCTGTAGGAAGAATTCGGATGGGCTGTCAACAACACGTTGCTCTGATACTGTCTACTGTGAAATTACATCCTTATTGCTTTACACTATATTACCATTACCTTAATTTAATGCACTCACTGTCTATCATCCAGATAATTCCAAAATCTGAATAAAGAAATGAAAAGCATGGCAATTTTGAAGACTGTATTCTTGTAAATTGTTTTAAATGAACTGAACAAACATACTGCACCTGAGAAACCCTCCTGCCCTCCTCTTCACAGGTGTTTCCACAATTGAGTAACAAGTTACTTGTGCTCCAAAACTTTTTTTTTTTTCCCAGAAAATCTTTCAGTAATTGAAAACTGCATAAGGAATGCCTCAAAGTATGGACTTCACCAAATTAGTGTAGCACAAATACTGAAGCACATAAAATCCAATCATCGAAGACCCAAGAGGCACCCAAAATCTACTGTTAGCCGCTTTTTATTCTGAAATAGGAAGGACTGTGTTTCTAAAGACAGACCCTAAAAGCTGCCACCATCCCATAAATTAATGTGAAATTAGTGACATTCAGATATAAGCTCAATTTTATATCAGTCTAAACAACACTAAATATAATTAGGGCTTACTACTGCTGACCAGAGCCTCTGATTCCCAGAAAGAGTTTGGAAACAAATCGTGACATTTGCTGAAAGCCTGTAAAGACAATCCAAGTACCAGTAAAAACACTCCTGGGATGGTGCAATTCTCACCAGCTTGATGGAAATGCAAAGCACAGGAAAACTTTCTCCACTTAAGGCATGCCAGTTAAACATTTCCCTCTATCACTAACCTACACATTCAGACAACAAAACCAAAGTAAACAACTAGTTTGCCTTGACTGGAAATAAGGGATAGTTAAAAGCACTGCAAGATACAAACGAAAAAGAGAATCAAACATACCTAGAACTTGCACCTTCTGTTTTGGTTATGAATACAGGGAACACATTACAGAGGGAATCTATTACTCTATAAAGAGATCTTACCTTTAGAGACTCCAGATTTCACTTTACACCATTGATAATATTAGACTTGAGAATCTGGACCACAAAATTTTGTACAGGCAGGCAGAGTCCAGTCTACCACAAAGACTCTACCACGAGCTTTACAAACAAACTAGTAAAATAATTTTTCCATTTCTCTTTTTTGTACATGGCTCCTTTCCTGGAAAACCTTTTATTTGTTAAGCTCCAATGTGACTAGTTAGGACATAAAAAAACCAAACCCCAAAAAAACCTCCAAACCCCAAAACTATTAAAAAGAAAGCCCCACAAAGTTTCCCCAAAACAACCAATGAAGATTATACAATTGTCAACACTTAAGGAAAAAGAAAACCACACCTTTAGCAAAATCTCATGAATGAAAACGTTTCCCAAAACTCTACTTCCAAGGAGAGGAGAAATCTTCTTCAGTGTCCACGTCATCACTCATCGAAAAAAATTTTATAGAAAATTTTATTCAACATACAACATTTTCCAGCAAAAAAAGGCAATATACAGGAAGAGGAGTTGTACACTGAGGCTACAGAAACAAAATAAAATACTGGAAAAGAATGTAAAATTAAGTGTGAATTGCTGATTCTATCTTTACTGCACTCAAAACTAGACACGCGGCTGGCATTAGCTCCAAAGAAAAGGAAGCAGTCTGGGGACTGAAATAAAACTACACACAATGAATATCAACATCAGTGAAATTCACTTGCAGACTCACCCAATAAAATTAACCTCCAAGTGTTAAATTGTACATGTTCATTCATTAAATATACAATTTCTTTTTTCGTTTTTTTTTTCTTCTTTTTTCGTTTTTTTTCCTCCTTTTT